AACAGAGCAAGACCCTATCTCTACAAAAAATATATAAAAGGTAGCAAGGGCATAAACCCAAATTTAAGGTTACTATTCTAGGAATATGCGTGATCTGACTGAAGAACAGTGTCTCAGATTTAAGCTACGTGGCACACCAGCCTAAGATTTCAATAATATATTTATTCACAAACATTTATTAAGGTATAGGTACTAGCATTCTGGACATCTTAGAAGAAATGTCAAAAAATTAAAAACATAGCCTCTGGGGGGCCAGGCGCGGTGGCTTATGCCTCTAATCCCAGCACGTTGAAGGCCGAGGCGGGCAGATCACGAGGTCAGGAGTTTGAGACCAGCCTGGCTAACATAGTGAAACCCTGTCTCTACTAAAAATACAAAAAATTAGCGGGTAACTGTAATCCCAGCTACTTGGGAGGCTGAGGCAGGAGAATCGCTTGAACCCAGGAGGTGGAGGTTGCAGTGAGCCGAGATTGCGCCACTGCACTCCAGCCCAGGTGACAGTGCGAGACGCCATCTAGAAAACAAACAAACAAAAAACAAAACAAAACAAAAAACACAGCCTTTGCTCCCGGTTTACTATGTAGCTGAGGGAAACAAAACATACATGTTGAACTAGAGAACAGCTTAAAGTCAACATGTGCATGCATGTGTAGCACACTTTTTAAAACATGCTGAAGCAAAGCAAAGCAGAAACAATGCAATTAGTTCAAGAATGCTTCAGTCATTAGGTGTGATCATGAAGGACTGAGATTTTTAATGGCAAAAGGAACAGGGCCTGCTTATGGGATTTAGGGTGTGGGGTGTTAAAACGTATGAATGCTGGGTCTCTTGGTTTTGAGAGCATTGTTTAAGCTAGCTGATCCTATAAACCTGAAGACCAGGGTTAGGGTCCTGAAATAATGCTTAAGACTCCCAACCCAAGGAATAATATACATACACACTAGTCTCTTCACAATACATCATTGTGTATTAATCTCTTTACGTATAGTTACCAACAACAACAAAAAAGAACCAAAATGATTCTATCCTAAAGAGAAATATGCAGAAATTCTCATTGAGGCAGTACCACTAAATTCAGAGGCAACTTAAAGCTTCTTCTGTAAGAAGCTTAAAAGAGAATGACTGAAAAAGGATACCTAGGAGGCAACTACTTAGTCTTCTAGGGGACAATGTCATCAGTTCTTGGTGATCTGTACTGAAAGTGTGCGTAGCTTACAACAAAACCACTTACTTTGGTCTTACAATTGGTCTTACTTTGCAAGACCAATTCTGGGTGCAACATTTACTTATCCATTATACTTGGACTTAGGCTAGCATTTAAATTAATTCAAAATTTCTGGCTTCACATCTGAGGAGTTATTAGTATCAAAATACCTTCTCCAATAATCCACCCAGTTAACGAACAGCTTGTGAAACAGACTTCTACAGTGCTTTGCTTTTAGGGAGTATTAAGTTCTTTCCATCTTGCCAATCAATATTAAACTGTCAGCACTGCATTTAGCTTATTGGGAAATATAAATATATTCAAGTTCCTGGGTCTGTAGAGTTAAAAAAATATATATATTTACCAAACCAACCAGGGTAGGGGAAGATGTAATTGAGAACAGGATAAATTGGAAAGGTAGAATATAACCCATTGTTAACTCATATTATGGGAGTGACAAGTTTTAAGAAGAAACTGGAGTCACTGAAACCAGATCTAACACTTCAGAAATATGAATTTGGGTACAGACAAAAATGCTGATATGGCAGTTAGAGATGGGAAGACAAATCCAAACAGCATCTTGAAGAACTCTATTTGGCAAGTAAACAAATCTCTAGGTTAGTCTAAATCATAGATGCAATGACACCCTGAAGACACAGAACTTGACTATCATCTTGCTACAAATTTACTGTTTTTAGAGTACAAAGGAGCCATTTGAGTTTTCTTTGGAATGTGCTCATTGCACTGCGAACCAACATTTTACATTTCTAGCCTTAAGTTGTGTATGTCAGCCAGGTGCAGTGGCTCATGCCTGTAATCCCAGCACTTTGGGAAGCCGAGGCAGGCGGATCACTTGAGGTTTGGAGTTCAGACACCAGCCAAGCCAACATAGTGAAACCCTGTCTCTACTAAAACTACAAAAATTAGCCAGGTGTGGTGGTAGACACCTGTAATCCCAACTACTTGGGAGGCTGAGGCAGGAGAATCGCTTGAACCCGGGAGGCGGCGGTTGCAGTGAGCTGAGATTACACCACTACACTCCAGCCTGGGTGACAGAGACCCTGTGTCAAAAACAGACCCCCCCCCAAAAAAAAAGTGAGTGTCACTCTTGGTGGTTATTATTTTGTAGTTCAAATTTCTAGGCATGCCACCATTAAGGGCAGAAGAGATACACCCAGGACTTCCCAGTTCTATCTAAAGGCTATACCTTCCCTTTTGTTTGACTGATCCTATAGTCCTATGTATTAAGCCTTAATAACTGTTGAAAGCTTATCCCAAAATGACATATAAAGACTCCTCTAATACACAGCACCTGAGGGAATAATTCTACCATGGTTTTTCTTAGCACTTTACAGTCTCCAGGTTTAGCACTTTTCTTTCTACAAAGAGAATTCTGAATTTTCATTTGCCTCATTTGTGGCTTCAGAGTGCATTTTCAAAAGTTATTTAAAAATTATCAAAGGCACACCAGAGCTAACATCTACAGGATTAAAGACAGGTTTCAATCTAGCTAGTGCCCTTTCAGCTGTCAATCCAATTTTCAGCAAGACTACTAGTTAACAGTAACTACTTTCTGTAGCCTTCCTTGCTACTTAGTGTTAGCAGGCAGGGAAATCCCTACTGTGTAAACTTGATTCCTTTTTCCCCCACAAGAAGTCCACTTTGTCCACTTTTAGTGCCTTATTCTTTGAAACAGATCGACTTTCTAAAATTAATTTTAAGGCCAGTTGTACCACACCTGTCTTCTGGATGACTAAATCCCATCATGAGGGCCTAAAAGGTTTAGTATTCTCAATGACAACTCATACTTTAAACAGGAGATAAGTTTGTGTCCTTCCCATTTTTATAGAAGAAACCTGGGGAGAAAGGGATGATGGGAATGACTAAAGTGTTTAGTCAATACTAAATACTAAAATACTGAAGTGTTTAATTCTCAGTAATTTTCATCTGTTAATATGGCATTAACTACTGTGTGTACTGACTTTCTGATCACAAGACAACTTGCTACTTAAGTGAGGCCTAGAAAATAGCAAACAGCTAAGTTGACACGTAAGTAGGATTTTAAGGCAAATTTTAAGAACCTCTTAGTAATACTGAGAAATAAGATCATCACGCCTGAAACTGTTGCACCATAAAAGCAAACTACAGGTCTCTGAAAGCATACTCATTTCTTCCAGTTCATAACCAAATTGTTGTGTCTAGATTTTTTTCCCCAGCACACCTAACTCCTGTTGCCAATTCTCACATTCAAGGCCTTCTTACTCCATACCTGATGTACAAGGTAGGCAGAAAAACAAGCAGACTTATGTCTTCAGCATTTTCTTAGTCCCAGAACCTAGATTTTTCCGTTACAAAATGAGTGACTGTAAGTTAAACTCTACCGAAAACCTAAATGGATGCAAAAGCTGACAAGGGGAAGAATTTTGCACAAAAGATGGGAAAACAAAGGTAAAGTTACAAGAAAACTTACCCAAACCAACTAACTTTAGAGCTGATACAGAGGATCAAGGTAGTTAAGCTGGTCTCCACTTTGTTGTACCTATCTACAATGGGGATTATTTCCTGCTTAATTTTGTGTTATAGCTCCCTCTAGTGGCTAAGTGATTTTCCCTAGCACTTACTCCAATGGAGAGCAGTACAGCATGTTGTTAAAAAAAAAAAAAAAAAAAAAAAAACATATTTCTACAAGTTTTGTTCAAAGTGCATTTGGTGGAGATGAGTATAGTATGTTAGAAAAGCTGTTTCCACTATCTTCATGTCCACAGTTCTACCAATAGTTGGCACTCAGAAGTTGGTGACAGAAGTTTGATGCTTTTTAACCCGATGCTTGAGTGTCAAGCTGAACTAAGTGTTCTGTTTTGCTTACCTAAGTATTAAACTTCTTATGAAAAGTCATATATGACTTTTCACCCCCTGAAATCCCAGCCTAGCACCTATTAAAATGTTGTAAACTACAAATGTTGTATCTGCCTAAGTTAACTTATATGTGACAGAGTCATTTATTCAATTTTTATTCTGTGCATTAATGAAGCACGGAGTGATTTTTATAATAATAAAAAATCCTTCCTTTAATCACTACAAGCTCACAACCACCCTCAGGATTGTTAGGCATTAGCTTTCAAAGCTACCAAGAAGCATTCCAAAGGTCTCAATAACAGGAATAAGTACTGGTTTAAGTATACTATAATCTCTTGGGGTCCATGTTTAAAGCAAAAGTTACCTTGGTAGCATTACTATTTATTCAATAGACAATCACAATACACACAATGAACAGATGTTTCCTTATAATCTCTTTACTTCATGCCAATCCCAGCTTTTCCTATAGGATCTAACTGGTCAGTGTTCCTGTAAGTACTGATACAGAAACAATAACTCAAAAGAATGTTGTATTGTACACTCTAGGATGCCTGAGTATTTGCTTCAATGGGATATAATTGTTGAGTCCACTAATACAACAGAATGTAAAGAAATGTGGGCCGTACCTTTTTTTCTTGTGGCTGCTTCAGCCTAAAAAGATGGATTCAATCAATAAAGGATTCACAATAATAGGTTTTTCAGTCAAGACACCCCAGTTACAGACAAAAGCACTAGGCCTGTGTATGCTAGTACACTCCCTTATATGAACTCTTTGGAGACATATCTGGGATTCAGAGCTGTATGCACTTTATAAGGTACATATATACCCTGTATTACATAAAACCCTCAGCAAAGTCTGTGGCAACTGTGCAATGAATAATGAAGTTCAACAGGAAACAGTTTAGTCACACTAAGTGCAAAATGAAGGCAGCAATTCTGGTCAGGTTTCACATTTAATTAGCTCAACAACAGAAAATCTTTCGTTTTCATATAGTTTTTGGATTTCAAAAAATGGATAAGAGACTGTAATCTGTTTTCTGCGTTTGCACTCTTCATACTGTGATGGAAATAAGAGTGGTTATGTTACAACAGAACTTCAGTCTAACAGTTTCTCATCTTTTAATACTATTTATGGTAAATACATATATATAACTTACTTGCAATTTAAATTACAAAATTCATATACAAAGTAAGCAAAAAGGCACACATAAGAAATTCACCTTGACCACAGAAATGTGAAAACACCAGCCCTAATGACCAAGACAATGTTTCAAAGGCAACACCAAGAAAAGTTGAGATTCTACAATAAATCATATTAAATGCAAGTACTATGATGCGCAGACGTGAGCACTGAATATTTTCTAAAGCATAAAACAGGAAAAACCATTTTATGGGGAATCTATTCACATATTCCAAACAGCATTTTTGAAAATATTAAACTTAGCTTCGTTTTAAAAACAAAATTCAGACCCAAACAATCAGGAACCAGAAAATGGGTTTCTTACCTTTTGTTTCCAGTAGGATGTGGGCTGAACAGCAAGGTGGGTTATTCAATCTGATGTTATGAAAAATAATTGCTTCTTAAAGAGACTTAAGTTTTTCCTTGGTTAGAAAATAATTATAGGCTCCCTAAAACATTCTAAGGGGACATAAATAGGGAGAAGGGGAAATTCCAAGACAGCTTTTGTAGTTTCAAAAGGGTGTGCCTTTAATAATTGCCAATATGGATAGAGACCTAAAGGTCCATTTTCTGAAACTATAAATAGGAGCAGTCCATACTTCCCATCACAGCTTTTAGCTGTCTGGTCATCTTAACTACAAAATCTATGCCCCTTTACCTTTCATAAGTAAACATGAGGTCCTCTCTAATCTTCAAATTCAGCCTGTATAACAAGGAATGCTGTCTCATTTCAATGTGAAGTTAGAATTACTGTAACTTTTAGTAGAGCACATCTTTCAACTTTAAACACTCAAACTTGAGTGAAGGCCATTTACATTTTTTGGTGGTTTCCAAAACATTCAATGAACACAAATGAACCAAAGTTTGCTTAAGTCTAGCTCACATTAACCTTACAAAATGATCATTAATCATTTATTTTCCCCTTAATAATCTGAATTTTAAAAATGTTCTACACATAAAACAGAATTTAGAACTTCAAGAATGTCATGTAAAATTATTCAAATTTTAAACAGTAAATCTGCCTTTTGGCCATTATATTAAATTCTTACATAAAAAGAGCTACATCCTTAATAAATTTAAACTAAGTACTTTACTTAGTGAAATTCTGCATTCAACATCCCCTCTTCCCAACATTCCACAACGTTCATTAAAATCTGATTGGGGTAACCTTACACATTTCTTCCACTACCAAGATTTCTGGTTTTCCCTAGGTTTTTAATTGTCACCCGAATAATCACCTTAAATTCAACTTCCAACTATGATTAGCACCCGAGGGAAATGTTAAAGTCTAGTTACTTATTTTAGGTCCCCTCCCCCAACCTAAATAGTATCGGGGGCTGTCAGTAGACAAATACAAAAAGTAGCAGACTACAAGTTTTTAACGACTGCTTTGGTAGAGAACACCAAAGTTTTAGGTACAAAATAATCTTATGGTTGAGAAGGGCTTATAAGGCAAAATTCTAAATGCCCAGCTTTTTATTAGCAACGATTCATCCAAAGCAGCAGTTAATCTTGTACACACTTTCCCTTTCAAAAAAGAAATGTGACTTGTGTTAAAAGTTCTACAGGCCGAGCATGGTGGCTCACACCTGTAATCCTAACACTTTGGGAGGCCAAGGCAGGCAGATCACTTGAGGCCAGGAGTTTTGGGACCAGCCTGGGTAACACAAAGAAACTGCACCTCTACTAAAAATACAAAATTAGCCAGGCAAGTGTGGCACACACTTGTAATCCCAGCTACTCGGGAGACTGAGGCACGAGAATCACTCGAATCCAGGAGGTGGAGGTTGCAGTAAGCCCAGATTACACCACTGCACTCCAGTCTGGGGAATAAAGCGAGACTCTGTCTCAAAAACAAAAAACAGTTCTAATACCTCTGTGCTGATGTTAACATTTAATACTTACCTTTTTTTGAGATGGGTTTCATTGAAAATATCAAAAGCTATCTCCAAGTGAACATTAATTTACTAGCCATCAACCAACTTTGCACAAAAGCCTATGTTGTCTATGACCACCAGAAAATAAGCAGCATCTACAGTTTTTTAACCAATTTATAACAAAGTAGAGAAGCTTATCTTTCAGATGCTAGATCCAACCCCCCACCGTCATTTACCAAGTTACATACACAAATGCCTTATTCTCCCCTTTTGCCTTCCCCTGAAGACTTTTACAATTAACAATAAAAGATGGCTAATACCATTATAGTGCCTTTTAAGAACTTTTAATTTGCTAACACATTAATACAAGAGTCAAAATCTTATCTTACTTAACAATTTAAAGATTAACTGATAGACCCAGTTAGAATCTTACATGAAGAGGAAAAAGGACAACCATGCATAGTTTTTTAAAAAATGTTTATTTTTTCAAAGAAAAACGGCAATAGCCAATTGGAAACCTACTTATTCTTCAACTCCAATTTTGTTTTCTTTAAATTTAGAAGTGACTTACTGATTTACTATTTTAAACAAACCCCCCCTTTCCCCTTTAAATGTTTACCATCTACTCGTGCTGAATCCTTCCAAGGAGATTGCTCCAGCGTTTATCTCCAGGTCCTCGCTTTGCTCCTTTTACCAAAAAACGCAAAACACAATTCCATCGTGCATCTTAAGGGCTCCAATCGTCAAAAATAGGAAAAAAAAAAATCTTTGGAATAGCCAATTAAGTTGAATAAAAAAATCCACACGAATGCGGTTTGGTTGGGGCAGGAATCCACTCCTATGTTCCTGGTAATCTGATCCCGCTCCATGAATCCTGGTAATTCATCCTCCCTATCCTATCCACATTATGATTTGAATCCAATGATCCAGCTCCAAGGATTGGGATCCAGTGAGCCCTCTCCAATCCAAACCTTTATAACCAGCAAAACCAAAAAAGAGGAGGCAAAATGTTAGATACTGTAATCAAAAAAGGTTTCTGGGGAATGATGAGTTATGTCTGTCATCAGTTTAACAGATGCACATCAATAACTATCAAATTCCCCAAAACAAGTTTCTGAATGGTGTTCAGATAAATTTTAGAAACTTAATCATCATAGAGACTAATTGGAAGAAGCATTTTGTATTTACAGTTCAACTGATAATGCCAACACTTGTTACTGTACAGCGTATTACAGGTTTCGTGGTTGCAAGAAGTTACGTAATTTAAGTTTACTGGCATTGCTACCCACCTAAGTCTAAAACTATATCTAATGCTCCCATTTGCAATTTAATTTGTAAATTAAAGTCTTTTAAACATATGAATCAATTATGAATATTAGTTTAAAGGGGAAGGTGAGACTTAAAAGTATTCCCAACTAGATTATCTACACCAATACATTGGAACTCTATATTTTGCTTTCATTTTGTCTTAAAAAAATGAAATAGCAACGCTCTATCAGTCACACAGAGGACATGCAGATTTAGCAGTATTGATATTATACTCTATCTTGTTGGATTTAAAGACACCCTGTACCCACATGTACACCAACAGCAGGTCACACATTAACAGTTGTAACTAAGCACTGTGACAAATTAGCCAGTTCTTCCCACATTAGTCCCTATTAAAACAAAAATGGGGGGAAGGGAGCAAAATAAGTTGCTACAAAATGGGCAATATAATTTTGCCACAATTGCCAAGGTTTAAAGAGCAAAGCAATTGTAGCTAAAGATAACTGAATAAAATGTTTGCAAGTGTTTTAAGGAAAACGTATATAATCATTTTTAACCCCTGCCTTTTAGTATAAGGTCAATACTGCCAATTTCATCTGTGACAATAGCACTTGGAGTCATACCATTGCCTCCATTATTGATCTGATCCTCCTCAATCCTCCTTTTGACAATCCTAAAATGATTGAAATGTGCTCCACAATCCTTAATCCAAAGCATTCTTAATCCATCTCTTCAGATATGTCTACAGAAAGACACATGAAAAGCAAGATAAACATAAGAACTTCCCCAGGTAAGATAACCACAAACACCCCCAACATCCCAGTTCACACAAACCAGGGCAGAATAGACATTTACACAATATCACAGTCTGAAGAGTATGGAGTTAACTAAATTTAAACAATCCTGTCTATGACATCACTTAAAATACAATTTATCGAAGACACGAGGGGAATGTAGATGTTAGGAGCAAGGGGATATTACAAGAATGCAATTCAACACTTTAGCCCATTCTGAACAAAACAGTTTGAATTAAAAAATGAAAAGATTGTACTGAATAAAGGAAAACTGTATACAACATGGGTTCTACAAAAAGTGTCACCAATCATCTTATGTACGAGAGCGAGATCTGCTATGACGGGGAGAATAGCGTGGTGATCCTCTGCTTCTCCTTGGGGAGTAACTGCGACTCCTGCTGTTGCTTCTGCTACGGCTTCTGCTACGACTACGGCTTCGAGATCGAGATCTTCCATAACTTGGACTTCTGGGCCCATCAACTTTAACCCGGATGTAGGCAGTTTCTCCCTATTGGATAGACAGAACTTTCCATTGAAAGATCTAAGCTTTCATCTATCTTCAGGCATGCTGAATGCATACAATGCAACTACAACCAGAAATCTGGCAATTTACTTGGACACCCTTGCCTGAATTCTTACCTTCAAATTCCACTGTTAAGACCACTGTATCCAATTCTGGTCAAAGAAAAGAATAAGCGTATAACCTACCTCATGAGATCTAAACTTAGTGTTATCCAGTTTTCGAACTGCATAGGTCATATCTTCTTTCCGTACAAACTCCACGACACCAGTGCCATCTCGGTAAACATCAGCATAACATACATCACCTGCTTCACGCATGTGATCCTTTAAATCCTGCCAACTTCCACTTGGAGGCAGTCCTGAAAAAGTGATTTTTTTTCTTAGTATCAATTATCTTAAATTTCACGTTAAGCTGGTAAGGTACATTAGAACAAAGAGTACTTTAAAATACTTAATAGGTGTACTTAAGTGATACCAGGTAAAGAGCTGGTAAGATTCTGGGATCCAGAGTCCAAAATTATTTGTAACGGATCTTCGTATCTAGTACCGCAACCTAATTTGGTAAATCACCACAGCAGCAATCCTCGTTTATTAAATTCACCCAAAAACTAAAGCAATTTAAGACCTAGCATGAAAAATTTGCAATTGTTAAACCGATCATGCAAGACAAAAATTTTAGGTAGCTTCCGTCCCTTCACATCAATCCACACAACCAAGTACACTCACCAGAGACAACCACTCTGTTTTCAGACCGCCTGGATGGGGGGCCATAGCGACCTCGGGGAGCTCCGCCACCTCCACCCCCGCCGCCGCCTCGGCCTGTTCCACGGCCGCTTCGAGGAAACTCCACCCGCAGACGGTACCCATCGTAATCATAGCCGTCGCGACCATACACCGCGTCTTCCGCGTCTCTGCGGGATCGCAGAAAGTAAAAGGCATGAGAAAGACCAGGAGGAGAAGCTCGCTCAGTCGGGAACCCCCCGCACATGCGCACCCAACGTGGAAGAGCCCACATGCGCCGCATAATAGGAATGGCCCCTCCCCCACCCAGAAACACGCCAGGCTCCCAACCACTACACCAGCCCTCAGCGCCTCAGTTTCCCGCTCCAGCCTGCGAATGGGCTCCGGGGACGTCCAAGGCGAGGCGCCAGAGAAGCCACACCAACTCAGCTCCTTACTCGACTCCTGCATGGGCGATACAGTCTCGCCCCAACCTCTCTAAGAGCCCCCGCTTCCCCGTTCTCTATGTTAAGGCCTTGGAGCCTTCCCCGACTACTCGGACCTATTTCCTCAAGGCTGCAAGCCCCATGCCGCCTCACCGCGGGTCCTCGAACTCAACGAAGGCGAAGGGCGGTCCCCCGCGGCGATTCTTGAGGTCGATGTCGCGGATAGCGCCGTATTTGTAGAACACGTCCTCAATGTCCTTGGTTCGGATGTCTGGAGGTAAGTTACCCACGTAGATGCGGCAATCGTTGTTCCCTGCGGGGCCACGAATCACACCACCTCCCGACATGGCGGTGACGAAAAGCGCGGACTCGAGAACAGGCCTTCCCACCAAGCCTAGCGCACCGCAGAGCGAGCCCGCAGCGGCACCACGTCTCCCGCGGCCCCTCCAAAATGGCGCCTTTATCAGCTCGGCGCACGGATATGGGGGGGAGACAGAGGAAGAGAAGCGGAAGGAAACAGCGATTCGATCCCAACACGCACGCGCGGGAGCGCAACGGGTGCTGCGAGGGATACGCGCAACGCACGCGCACGCACGCGCGACGTCACCCTCCGCACGAAGGGGGAAAAAAAGTCCCCCGCGTTCCCCGCTTGGGGTGGTTTGCGAATAGAGTGAGCAGCCGTTTGGTAAAAGTTAAATAAAGAACTCTCGTTAAAGGAGCTAGTCATCCAGGTCGAGTCTTGAAGGATAGTCAATTTCCCCAGGAATGAGGAGCTTTGAAAGCAACTCGGCGCCTTCAAAGGACTTGGTGAAACCTAGCCTAAAGCCTTGTCCCACCATGCTCTGCGGCGATAACGGCCTTTGGCGGGAAAGAGACTCGGAGGCGGGGCTAAAGGGGGAGGGCTCGGGCCGTTGCTCCGGAAACCCGGGTATCTTCGTAGAGTGCGTCTAGTCCAGAGCTGAGTTGCCGGTGACTGAATAGAGAGCTGGGGCGTTGGTTTGTCTTCCCGCCCCTGCTGCGAACAAGCTGTGGCTGCTTAGACAGATGTGTCTAATTTAGCGAAACCGGTTTAGATTCCTTAATCCTTTTCATTAAGAACCATTCCACCTTCTCGTCAGAACTTTGCATAGCTCAGTTCAGCACTCTTTGTGCTAGTCGCAGTGGGCCCGTACCCCGACCTTTCAACGTGGTACCCGCCAACCAGAAGGGGTAACAGTACTGCTTCTGGTACCCACACCTCTTTATCTCTTGTTAATCGCCTATCCGTGGGACTAGCGCAGATTGCCTGCAGAATGAATTGTTTCTGTTGTTTCCTTTTAAAGAACGAGAAGGAAGAAAAGGTGCGTGTGTGCAGTCCTTTTTTCAAAAGTTTCCTCTAAAAGTTACTGAAATTGAAAATACCGGTCCTTCCAGGTAATAAAATGGACCGAAATGGATGAGAGCCGTATCCACTAGAGACCGCGGTTGCTATTCAGGACTGTGATCTTATTTGCCTGCGACATTGGGAGATAACATTTTACATTTTTTTTCGACGTCTGCAATCTGGATTTTTATGTGAAATCCTGGGATTTTTAAACGTCGCTAATGAATTCAAATTAAAATTAGGCTGGGCGCGGTGGCTCACGCCAGCACTTTGGGAGGTAGAGGCGGCAGATCACTTGAGGTCAGGAGTTCGAGACCAGCCTGGCCAACATGGTGAAATCCCGTCTCTACTGAAAAAAAAAAAATTAGCCGGGCTTGGTGGCGGGCGCCTGTAATCCAGCCTACTCAGGAGGCTGAGGCAGGAGAATCGCTAGAACCCTGGAGGTGGAGGTTGCAGTGAGCCGAGATCGCGCCATTGCGCTGCAGCCTGGGCTACAGAGTAAGACTCCTCCTAAAAAAAAAAAAAAAAAAAAAAAAAAGGAGGGGGAAACAACAACAAAATCAAATCCTGCAGTCATAAATTTGCGATAACAGATCTACACCCTGAATTTCAGGGATAATGTTCTTCATGTTATTTACAGCAGTCCCTCTCCGCAAGGATGTGAGGCAATTTACAGAGATACCATAAAACATTATTAAAAGTAGATGAGGCTGGGCGTGGTGGCTCACTCCTGTAATCCCAGCACTTTGGGAGGCCGAGGCGGGCGGATCACCTGAGGTAAGGAGTTTGAGACCAACATGTCGAAACCCGTCTCTTCTAAAAATACAAAACATTAGCCGGGCATGGTGGCCCATGCCTGTAATCCCAGCTACTCGGAAGGGTGAGACAGGACAATCTCTTGAACCCTTAGGAGGTGGAGGCTGTAGTGAGCGGAGATCATGCCACTGCACTCCAGCCTGGGCGACAGAACAAGACTCCATCTCACACACACACACAAAAAAACTAGAGGAATGGGAAAATAAGGGGTGGATTAAATGAAATAAGCATAAATTACTATACAAAATGCCTGCAGTGAAAGCCTGTTGAATTTGTTGAGATAGACTGCAAATTTTACTTTAGTCTTCGCAGAAGTCGCGGTAAAGAAGGGTACACCAGTATTGTGTATTCAAAATCCAAAGTGCCTTTGGGATAAAAATAAATAGGTCATTCAGGAGAAGGACATGTTTTCTTAATTCTAAAAGCTGATGAAATGTATTTTACAAATGTCTCTCGGTGACCCCAAAATACATACTCAATTTGAAATGAGCAGGGATGCTTGGTCTTGTGCCTGAAGATCCTCAGTATATCCACAGATGACCTTTGGTAATCCTTGAGCTTTCTGTAATGTTTTCCAAAATTATATGCATGTATGCATGTACAAAATTATATGCATGTGCGTACTTTTTTCTGGGAAGAGGATTTGAAATTTTAATCAACTTCTTAAAGGAGTCCATAGATCCCAAAAGGGAAAAGAACTTCTGAAAATTGTCAAGGGAGGGATAGATTGCCTATCCTTCAGACCATCCTTCAAGTATATATATAGGGGTGTGTGTGTGTGTGTGTGTGTGTATGTGTATATATATATATATATATTTTTTTTTTTTTTTGAGACAGAGTTGCCCTCTGTCACCCAGGCTGGAGTGCAATGGCGTGATCTCAGCTCAGTGCAACCTCTGCTTCCCTGACTCAAGCCATTCTTGTGCCTTGGCCTTCTGCGTAGCTGGAATTACAGACATATGCCACCATGCCTAGCTAATTTTTGTATTTTTAGTAGAGACGGGGTTTCGTCATGTTGGCCATGTTGGTCTCGAACTCCTGGTCTCAAGTGATCCTTTGGCCTTGGCCTCCCAAAGTAGTGGGATTACAGGCATGAGCTCCCGCACCCGGCCAATTTTTTTCTTTGAGACAGGGTCTTGCTCTGTCACTCAGGCTGGAGTGCAGTGGTGCAATCACAGCTCACTGCAGCCTCGACCTCCTGGACCCAAGCCATCCTCCCACCTCAGTCTCCTACGTAGCTGAGACTACATGTATGCACCACCACTTCAGACTGATGTTTGTATTTTTTGTAGCAATGGGGTCTCGCCATGTTGCCCAGGCTGCTTTTGAATTCCTGAAGTCAAGCGATCCTTCCATCTCGGCCTCCCAAAGCGGGGGGATTACAGGCATGAGTCACTGTGCCTGGCCAGAGCCTGATATGTTTTTAAATGAGAAAGTGACCAAAAAAGATACTATTTCAACAAATCTACTGTTTCTAGCATTGTTTCATTAAGTGAGTGGCAGAAAAGAGGAGAGTTTTTAAAAACTTGCAGCCTGTTGATTCTTTCAACAGTTATTTGCTGAACACATTTATGTTCTTTTATCCATCAATTTAAATTTATGCAGGCAAAGTTTCTGTTAATTAATGATAAGTCAATGATAACTGAAGTAATAACTGAAATCCATAGTTTATAATTGAATAGTTCATTTTAAAAAGGGATGAGACAATACATAGGTACTTTTAATTTCAAGGTATTTTCATTCCAGAAAAATAAAACTGAATTTGCTTTGTTTGTTTGTTTGAGATGGAGTCTCACTCTGTCACCCAGGCTGGAGTACAGTGGCAGGATCTCGGCTCACTGCAACCTCCTCCACCCAGGTTCGAGCGATTCTCGTGCCTCAGCCTCCCAAGTAGCTGGGACTACAGGCATATGCCACCACGCCTGGCTAATTTTTGTATTTTTAGTAGAGATGGGGTTTCACCATGTTAGCCAGGCTGGTCTCGAACTCCTGACCTCAAATTATCTGCCCATCTTGGCTTCCCAAAGTGCTGGGATTACAGGCGTGAGCCACCACACCCAACCTGAATTTGCTTTGATTTATTCTTGTCTGTCTAATTTAATGCAGTAATTTCTGATTTTGTTCATTTCAGCACAATACAAAGTAGAACTTAATTGAGAGTGAATAGGATGTTCTTATTTCTCCACTGGCATCTTTTTTTGTATTTGAATGTAACCAACTGTTCTGGAGTTGATGATGAAGTCAGTATATGGCAGGAAGAGTCTTGACGGCTGTTTTATCAGGTCTCCCAGGATGGCGTTAGCTTGGTGATGATTACAATTAAGGGTATTACCAGTTAACCAGAGTTAACATATTTCAGTCCACAAGAGTAAAACATCAAAAAAGCAAATCAACAACTTATTTGGAAATAAGAACAAAACAAGGTGAATCATTTTGAGGGATATTTCATTCAGATCCTGAGACCTGATAAATGATCCCTGCCCCCATAACAAAGTATTTCTGTCCAAGACAGATAAATTCACAGCACCTGAGTTCTGTGTCTCTGTACCCTGGACAGTGCTGGGTAAAGACTGGCAATTATCTTTCTACAGACTAATCTTCACACAATTCTCTAAACAATATACTAGATGGTTGATTCCTTTTGTGCTGAGCAAATTACAACCACTTCCAGTTTTGCCTCCTGAGATTACATCCTCATCTTAATTGGAGTTTGAGGGTTTTCTAAACTCCTTAGTTATACATTCACTGTCAGTTTTATGAATTGCTCTCACAACCAGCAGATTTATTAAGCATGAACTTTACCAACTTCATTGTTGGAAGCAACCTAATTTTTTTTTTTTTTTTTTTTTGAGAGTCGCCCAGGCTGGAGTGCAGTGGCCAGATCTCAGCTCACTGCAAGCTCCGCCTCCCGGGTTTACGCCATTCTCCTGCCTCAGCCTCTGGAGTAGCTGGGACTACAGGCGCCCGCCACCTCGCCCGGCTAGTTTTTTGTATTTTTTGTTTTTTTAGTAGAGACAGGGGTTTCACTGTGTTAGCCAGGATGGTCTCGATCTCCTGACCTCGTGATCCACCCGTCTCAGCCTCCCAAAGTGCTGGGATTACAGGCTTGAGCCACCGCGCCCAGCCGCAACCTAATTTTTAACATTATTGCTGTTTAGTAAAAGTTACTTCCTCCAAGAGAAACTTTTTTTTTTTTTTTGAGACGGAGTCTCACTCTGTCACCCAGGCTGGAGTGCAGTGGCGTGGTCTCGGCTCACTGCCAGCTCTGCCTCCCGGGTTCACGCCATTCTACTGCCTCAGCCTCCTAAGTAGCTGGGACTACAGGCACCCGCCAACATGCCTGGCTAATTTTTTAAATTTTTACTAGAGATGGGGTTTCACTGTGTTAGCCAGGATGGTCTCGATCTCTTGACCTCGTGATCCGCCTGCCTCGGCCTCCCAAAGTGCTGGGATTACAGGCGTGAGCCACCGCACCCGACCAAGAGAAACTTTTTAAATACTTTTGATTCAATCCAGTAATCTCAGGAGGAGACTTTTAAAAGTTCATGGAAAATGTGTTATGAACAAATCATGCATGGATTTGAAAAATTTTTTACACCAAAATAAACTCGTACTAACTTGTTATAACATGTATGAACAGCATCTAGTTTGATGTACTAAAAAGAATAAGACATATGCTTGAAAAGAGCCCCTATCAGAGCAACATGTATTCTGTTAAAATTGAAGCAAGGATAAACATCAAATTCATGATGAAACTTGGGTGAAAGAATGGTGAAATCACTAATTCTTTACAAAAAGTTTATGGGCACAATGCCTCAAAGATATCAATATTTTATAATTAGAGAGTTAATTTTAAGAAGGGATGAGACAGTGTTGAAGAGGAAGCCTGCAGTGGTAGACTACCCACATCAATTTGCAAGGAAAAAAATAATCTTTTCATGCTTGAAGGCAATAACGTATACAGTGGCCCGTTTTCAAGACAAAATGCCTTACATGGGCGTAGGTCAGCAAACTACAGAAGAAACAGGACATACTGGGCTGCTGCTTGGATAGCTGATGCCTGCTTGTCGCCCTCCCTCTTCCCCAACACTTCTCCTTCCCCCTTTAGTTGCCTTCATCCAAACCGAAAAAGTTTAGTCTAAGATGAAAGTTTACTAGTCTGCAAAATAGCTCACTTTGTCTTCTCTTATCAACCTGCCTAGCTACTTAGGTCATAAGTTAAATACTTGAAAAGCCCCTGAGCTAACTAGGATTGCAGTGCATTGTGGGCTGCAATAAAATGCAGCAAGACACCTCCCGCCCCCCGCCAAAAAAAAAAAAAAAACACCTAAAGCCCCTACCCAACAATTAATAGGCAATGTCTGGGAAGATTGTGACCCCATAGTACTCAGCCTATGAGAAACCGGGGGAGGGACCTGCATACTAGGGGATAAATTGCTTGTTAAAACTGTGCTGGGGGCCGGGTGTGGTGGCTCACGCCTGTAATCCCAGAACTTTGGGAGGCTGAGGCAGGTAGATCATGAGGTCAAGAGACCATCCTGGCCAATATGGTGAAACCCCATCTCTACTAAAAATACAAAAATTAGCTGGGCATGGTGGCGGGCACCTGTAGTCCCAGCTGCTCAGGAGGCTGAGGCAGGAGAATCATTTGAACCTGGGAGGTGGAGGTTGCAGTGAGCTGAGATCACACCATTGCACTCCAGCCTGGTTGACAG